CCAATACAATTTTACAAATTCGTTTTAATCGAAACAAGATCTCAAATTTTTCCTGTTTCTACTGCTAAGGGATGAAGACAATTAAGATTTCCGACCGTCATTAGCGCCGTGATTGAGTCACTATAAATCGTAAATGCGGTTGACCTATGCTTAAGGATCACCCTAGACGCTTCGCATATCGCCAAGAGTTGCGTCTGTTAAACTGTACAATGTGATGGCAGACTCAGCTTGAGGGCTTGTAAAGCCAACACAGTGTTCACCTTGCTACTTTAATCTCCAGTAAAAGGTTAAAGTAAAAGGTTTCCTGATGTAAAATGAGTTGATGGAAACGTATTTATACATCAGGAAACCAGCACAACAACTCATCAGGAAACCAGGTTACCTGGTTAACCAGGTTGATCTATTCTGTAGTAGCGTAGTGTTTCCTTGGCTGACACCCACTCCAAAGGAGTTCCATTGATCGTTATATTCGACTACGACAATTACTTCCGTTACTGTCCGTTACTGTCCCTGTGGTGACGGATTAAGAATACAGATTGTCACCACCCCTTTTCATCCCTTGGGTGTCGTAAGAGTCGACTGAGGGAGTAAACTACGCAGGACAACAGCACTGCAAAGAGAAGGAAAACTTGAAACAAACCCTATACCAACTCTGGCCAGCGTGGTATATTAGGCCAAAACCTCTTTTCAAAGGAGAGGCCTATGTCCAGCAGTGGACTATTAAAGGCTGTTAATGACAACAATTACTTGACCATAACGACGTTACTGTAGGTGACTCAAATATCCGGATAGCCTATAAAAGATTCAGTCAAGTGTCGTTAACTTGCTCCTAAGAATTGAAGAGTGCCATTACTTTGTCGTGGATTCCATGATCAGAATCTAACCAAACTCTCATCAAAGTATCCTTAAAGTACATCCATTCGAATAAAAAAAGAATTATCGAAATCGGTTTGCGTGATATTGAGTTATTCGTCTGTTTGTCGCGAACATATTGAATGAAAATTTAAGACTTATATGGTTTTCTCATGGATGCCATTATCAGAACTGAACCAAATTGAAATGGGACCACACGGGAAGCACCAGCTTTCAAAAAAAAAAGAATCATCAAAATCGGTTCACCTAGTCTAAAGTTCTGAGGTAACAAACATAAAAAAAAATACAGTCGAATTGATAACCTCCTCCTTTTTTTGAAGTCGGTTAAAAATAATAAAACATCAGTTTTAGATATTTAAGCACTTTAATATTTAATAAAATATAATATTTAATATTTATAAAAATAAATTAATCTAAATAAAGACATAATATCTCAGAAATGTAAATCAGGCTCATCCTACCCGATGGGAATAAGTGAAAGAACGATACGAATATATCATTAAGACTAAAGAACCCTAAGCCTTTTTAGTTGTTTGGTTAAGTTAGTGTGACGTAGTGCAGTGAGTGCTACTCTTGAAGAACAAGTACAAAATGTATTTTCATTGGAGTGGGAACCATAAGAAAAGTACCAATGGACTCACTCTTTAAGTATATTATATTTTTTTAGCTAATAAATTTAAATTACTCATTACGCCTAAAGGCTTGATTGCAATTATTATGAGGGACCATCCGGCTACAAAATAATGAAAAAAAACTCAATTGTATGAATCACTATGTACGAGTATAATTTGCAATTGTAGGTTTAGTAGTAGTTACAAATTAAATTAAATTACAGTTTTCTCGTTAAATTACAAATAATTGTTCAAAACATAAGAACAATCAGACACATTTCTAAAAAATCAATTAAATAATCGGAGTAATATTGTCAAAATTTAATCGGGCCCTTCCATATTTCGAGCAACTAAAGAAAACAAGTTGTCAAGAACCGTTAACACCAAATTTAAAAAAAATAAGCAAGAAAGTAATAACAAGATTTCTTAAAAATAATATAATCTTTCATAATAAAAATCAGTCTTGAATCTCCATAACAAACTGTAACAAAAAGATATCACCGTTACGTACTGCTCCATTATTTAGATATTTTGTTAACTGAAGAATCAACTTAATAAAATAATAATATTATTGATTATAATTAAATAAAAAATATAATAAATACTTGACTACTCTGCACAAGTACCCACATAAATAGTAAAATAATAAGACAATCATATTTTTTTTTAGTTCAACAGAAATATATTGTCACGTTCGGGGATCAAGCAAGTCATTTTCATTGTACCACGATTACACTTCTGTTCCCCTAAATTAATGTAATAAAATTTTAATAGATAATACTTAATTTTTCAAATTAGAGTAACTTCGTAAACTCAGCTTTACAATTTCTCAGTTTCGTAACATAACGCAATATAACTAAACTGAAGACAAACTCTGAGAAATTATAACCTTGAAAAATAATTCTGTTAGTACCACTTATTGTATACACAATAACTGAATTTATTTGTCTATATATTATTATAACTAAGACGTGGGCACAAAATAGTACAATCAATCGTATTTGCTTACCGAAATTCAAATCGTTTATCACCCTGACAGTATTTTTTTCCAAATGCGAATTCAACAGAATGACTCCCGTGTACGGATGAATACAAAATGACCTCTGTATGTACGGTGAATTATAAAAAGCAGCAATGTTTTAAATATTAGGAAAATTATTTCCCGTCAGTTTCGAACAACTGCGTTCAAAATTATACGCACGTAACTAACACTGAGTAACGAAATGTAATAATTTTGGGACAACATTAATATGAATTTTAATAATTTTATTAAACGTTCTAAAGAATAAATCGTATTACTATTTAAAAGATGGACTAAAAGAGACCGAAATGACTACAGTCAATCTTATGTAAGTCGACTAATAGTCGTAACAATTACTCTTTTATTAAGATAAATCGTTATTGGGACTTTAAAAAGTTGTATGGAAGGTATTTTATAAAAAAAAACCCATGCTGTTTATACTATGATTTGACGAAAATATTATATTATTTATTAAAAAAATATCCTATTAAAGACTAAACATTGATGTAAACATGATTAAAAATATGTGCCATAATATTCAAATTTTAAATCTGCTATTAAAGTAGTGGGACAAAAAAAAGTGCCAAATGTACATTTTTTCTGAGTATGGCCCAACTAAGTTATACTCGTACATGCAGTCAAAAAAGTATCAGGAATAGATGATTTGTATATGGTTCTAAATTCAAATTTTTGTTTTTTTTTTTTATTGTTGGCGCAAAGTAGGCCAAAACCTCCTTTCTAAGGAGAGGCCTATGTCCAGCAGTGGACTATTAAAGGCTGTTGATGTGATGTGAGGCTATGACGCACTCCACGTGATGATGTGATCATTTACTCGTAGGTATAAGACGTTGTGTGTAAAAGTATATCGATACATAAGTAACCTAAGAGAACCGTCCGAACAATAAAATCTCATAGTAAGTTAGTAGGGGCGAGTTTTAAGTAGCTGCCGGTGAACGGGACGGGTTTTCTCCTCCACCCGCTATAGTGGCCAGCCGCGAGGAGGCGACGTCTGCGCGTTCCGGACGTCGCCTAAATCGAGAGTTTACCCAAAGGTGGTGCCCGCGCTGTTGCGGGCAGGCGCTGGGAGGGGTCCGGATGTCTTAAAATCAGCTTTTCCCGGACACCTTCTATCACAGGCACGAAGTGGCACACCGTGTGGTTTTAGTCGGTTCGATAACCCACACACCGCCCCACCGCGAACCCCGGAGGGGTGACGGCCCGAGGGGTTTTCCACACGTTAAAAAAAAAAGTACATGTTTATTGGACATGACCTTGGTTTTATCCAAATTCCGTAGGCCGATGCGTATAGAAGAGTCAGCTAGGTCATTCAGCATCTGTTGTAGGACCTGCAGCGTCTCTGCCATGTTGACGATGTTGTCTGCAAATCGCAAATCAAATGTATTCGCCTTTCCAGTGCAGCGTCTTGAACATGTCCTCCATTGCATTTGTGAACAATTTCGGGCAAAAAACGTCCCCTTGTCTCACTCCTCGATGCAACAGTATGGGCCTTGTTTGCTGATTCTGTACTTGGACGGATCTGTACTGTACTTGGTGGATGTGGTCTATGGTGTCATATCCGCTCCGAATCCCAGCAGCGACTCCGGTGTTCGGAATTCGTCTAGTCTTCGCGCAAGACGGTTCGTGATGACTCTCGAAAACAGCTTGTAGATGTGGCTTAGAAGGAATATAGGTCGATAGTTCGAGCGACGAACGACCGAGAAGAACGAAACGACCACACTCCTTCTCTACGCTTCCGGAGTTCTCCCTTCAAACAGGACAGCGTTGAAGATTTTTTTGAGCTCCCTTTGTACGGGTTTACCTCCGGCCTTTAGAAGCTCCCTTGTAACTCCATCCTCTCCAGGGGCTTTTCCATTTTTGAGCTGTCCAAGAGCCATCTGGATTTCGTCAGTGCCGACTTCTTTCAGGTCTTCGGTGAAGTGACGTGTTAATGTGACTCTGGAGAACTTTGATGTAGAGAATTGATCCTTAATGATCTTTAATTTTTTCTGGAGCTTCTTATTAGCCCAAAATACATGCTGCGCCCGATTAAGTACGTTTGTTTTATATGGCCAACCTTCTTGTATTTATAGTGTTTTATCTGTGATGGCCGACGATTCTTCATGTACTGACTTCGAGATTTATTTTATGACAACTGACAACTTTATTTTATCTGTCAAATGCACTGGTCAAATGTCAAAACAGTTTAGATAATGACAAACTCGTATTGTAACTTTCTTTTCATTAACAACAATTTAATTCGGTATTTTCCCGTAAACCGTTGTAATAGTGAAAATAAAAGTTTTTTCTTATATGAATGTGGTTTATAAAACACATTTTAAATATAATACTACTATGTATTTAGGGTTATATTTTAAAATGTCATCGGAAAGAGTATTTAATTGTATACTGCATTCTTACGCCTGACAATGTTACTATTTTCATTGCCGCATTATTGTAAACGGTTTCGTAAATTAAGATTTAATTCCAAGTATAAAATGTGGTATGCCGCTTTAGTGCGATTCATAAGGAGGAGACTGGTTTTAGGCATTATATTTGCATCTTCATTAACTTATTGCATAGTCAGTTTTCTTAAAGAGGTTGGTATTAATAATCTGCAAAACAATTATTATGATAATAATTTAGTAATTGTTTGAAAGACCTATGTATAAAGCTAATACTAACTTTTGTATTTTTCCTATTTAAATGTGGAAAAGTGTAACAGTCAGTATTTACTTAAACTACATAAATCTGCTGTAAATTGAAACAGGAAACGGATATAATTTTACTTATATATTGTAAGTCTATCATATCACTCAAAAAAGAATGTACATACCCCTATTATGTTTAAACAAACAGAGATAACAAAATCATATTATTCTACTTCTTAAAAAAACTTCTGATTTAAAAGAAAAATCGTAATTACAGGGTAACAGTAGAAATATGATATATCAAGATATAGCATTTGAAAGGAAACCATTTGTTTGGAGAACACTTCAAGAACATAATGATACAAATGACAATATAAAATGTAGAAATTCAGTCCAAGGAAAACAATTACTGGTAGATGATAGAGGTATATACAGTATAATCTTTACTTGTATGTTAACTGAAAACTGATTTATGTATGGCTTAACCTCTCATAAGCCGCAATATGCCACTACACTGTATAGTGCCTTCACTGGTATGCGCTGTACAGTGTAGCAGCATGTGAGGAGTTAATACTCAATTCTGTGGTACTCTTGTTGTCATCATCATCAACAGCCTATAACAGTCCACTGCTGGACATAGGCCTCTCCTTAGAAAAGAGGTTTTGGCCCACCAAACCATGCTGGCCAGACAGGTCGGTATAGGGTTTGTTTCAAGTTTCTCTTCATTAATGAATAATTGGTTAATTAATGGTCCGTGTGGTGATGGATTAAGAATACAGAGTGTCACCACCCCTATTCATCCCGTGGGTGTCGTAAGAGCCGACTAAGGGAGCTAACGCAGGACAACCAGCACTGCAAAGAGAAGGAAAACTTGACACAAACCCTATACCATCCCGTCTGGCCACTGTGGTATAGTAGGCCAAAACCTCCTTTCTAAGGAGAGGCCCATGTCCAGCAGTGGACTATTAAAGGCTGGTGATGTGATGTGAAGTGATGATGGTTAATTAATTAAGATATATCTTAAAAATAGTAATCTCACTTTTTAGATGAGAAGTCTTCATATTCCTTTTTCTATATTCTACAAAATCCATGGTAAATTTCATATATTCATGAATAACATAAGATCTAAATGTTGAATCCAATTTCATGGTGAATTATGGCAATAAAATGATGCCACAACATTGAGTTATCATCGGTTAGTTTATTGAGTAAACAAATGAAATACCTAATATTTATAGTAAGTTTCAGTAGTAGTAGATTACATTAAATTTAATATACAAAAATGGTCAATTTCAGTGCAGACAGTCTCCGAATAAGCTATGTAATGTCAAATGCTTGTAGCAATAATTTTGTTTTCACTGCTCACTAGCAGAAAAATTACATTCTTTTAAAACTTTATTATATATTTAAACTTTCACATGCCATGTAACATTAAGCAATTCAATGTTGTTATGTCTCTTTTTGTTTGTTTTTTTTTTCAAAATACCACATTGAATAAATCACCTTATTTTAAATTTGATATGAATTTTAAAATTTGTGCAGCTCTATAAGTTAGATGTTAATAACCAAATTTATTATTTCAGGGTATGTATGCCAAAGAATGGATGTATTGAAAAATGGGTGCTGTGATCTAGAAGCTGACTTTACAGATAGATACAGCTGTGAGACATGTTCAGATAATAACTGTTGTGTTATATATGAGTACTGTGTGTCTTGCTGTTTAGACCCTAGCAAGGTAAGATATAAATATATTTCCAGAGTGAATGAACATAGTGTTGAGGTGATGAGTAATAACGCAGTTGATTTTAGTTTTTAAGTTTTAAATTCTGAGATTTTGGCGTTGCACATGTCACATGTTATGTCAAAGTCTTGAGCTGAGTAGTGTTGCTACATAAAAACAGTGTTATACCATTATTATACTAGAGAGGGACTTGGTGAATATTCTTATAAAATTTACTAAATCATAACTTTAACACATAGTTCAACAATTTTCGATCCCAAAAGTCCCCCTTACTCACAAAGGAATGAAAGAATTTGACAAATAGGCAGTAGCTCAGTACTAAACTGATATTTAGATGTATGCATGTATGTATGCCCCAGCTATATAATTATAATTATATCATTTATACTTAAACTACTCTTTATTAAAATAAAACATCTTTACATTCATTTTAGTACATGCCCATAACTTTTATAAGTAAAAAGTTCGTTTTATTCTATTTTAAAAATTATTTTATTTTACAGAGAGATATGTTAGAGGTCGTCTTATCTAAACTGTCGACGGAAAAGAATGTGTTATTTCGTTCGCTGAGTGACGACTATGAACTGTGCTTAACAAAATGTCGCACAAGTTCCCACAGTGTTCTTCACGAGAACTCCTACAAGGACCCCATACACAAACATTGCTTTGGTGACGAGCCCACCCGAGCCAGAACACCAGATTAACAAGAAAGTAATTACGGGCATACGTTTTTTTTACGTTTATATTCTTTAATAGTTAAGTAGGTTAGTTAGGTAATACTTAACAAGACGCTAGAGGCAGCATAAAAATATACACGCCGCTCTTATCGTTGTTTTGTGAACTAAAGCATTACAATTTGTGTTTATTTTACATGTTGCAGAGATTTTGTATATTTTATATAAGTCATACTTAAAATAATAATCCTAGTTTCTTCATTAAGTGTTTTAGGTTCCATCCCAGTATAAGACTAATGTTTATTCCTATTCTAGACGTAAACTACGTCTGTGTTGCTTTCCAATGTATTTTTGAGCTCCTGTAATATAGAATAATCATGGAATAATCAGTCCAATCTAGTTGCAATTGCTGTTTGAATGCCACACTATGACTTAAAAACAGTAATTGCAAAAACAGAATTTCCACATTTACTGAGAACTGACATGGTTACTGCCTGGTGTAACAGTAAATTCTATTTTTATAGGGCATGTAGCACTTATTAAGAATCACAACTATTGCCACATTCAATATACAAACAAAATAAACTTGTTTATTTATTATCTATTTCATCTTTTATCATTATTTTTAGTAAGAGATTTAAAATTCAGGTGCTACTGATTAAAAATATACTAAGACCAGTGATGTCTTCTCTGTAGAAATAAACTTTTGTCCAATGGCTGTCACGCAAAGTGCCTCACTATGTAAAAAATATGCGCACGCCGAACTGTGATGATGGCCGAAATGTGATGGCGCGTACTTATTACTCATAAAGTACGACGATGTTCGACCTATAGGTAAAAGCTAGCTAAATGATTATTTCGCTAGCTTTTACCTATAGGTCGTACGTCGTGGGAAGTTTCCCATGTTAGCACACGATCAGTAAGACTTTAATTTGTGAGAGAATTACTTTTTATTTAAATGACCTGCTAAAGCTAGCCAGCTATGTTACTATTTACAGTTGTATAGTTAAAAGTTAAGTTTTTAATAATTATATTTATTGAAATGAAATATTTACATACTCCTGCTATATTATGTACCCATGTCCGTCTAAGAGATTTTTGTGACTTAAGTATTGAATGAAAAAGCGTGACATATGTATACTATATACACATACGAAGGAATTTCACAACACAAGAGTCACGTACTTCTTTATCTGCGAACGTTGTAAAATTTCTTTTCATCTTTTTTATAATATAACTTTTAAGTTAGTGGTATTTTTTTCAAAGTAGTTACTTTTAAATTTAAAATATTAGAATTTGGTTCCGACAAAACTTATGCTATGTTCTTACTTGTCAGAACGTAGCTTGTGAGATTGTAACCAGTGAAAACAAACAAAAACGGAAACTATTCAAAAATAACAATACGGTGTTATACTTTATTATTTATGTTAGTTACAATTAAATTGATTGCAATGTTGGCATAGGTGGGGTGGTATTGTTTTCTAGTGAAACACTTTTTGGTTTAATCAAAAACTTTGTACTGCTGACTCGATCCTTTTACTGTGAGAAAAACTGCTGTAGTATGTTAAATGACCAACTTACATCTATATAAATTAAAAATGTTATAAAAGTATTGTTGTTAAATGACTGTATTTTTAAACTAATCATTGTTTCAATATTTCTTACCCTTAAGTGCCGCAACTTTAGTGCATATTAATTCCAGATTGTTCTAAGTAACTTTATAGAAATAAAGACATTGCGAATTGCAAATTTCAATTGCAAAGACAAAGCTTTCTGAGCTCTTCCAATCCGTTACCATTTAATAATTTATTTTCTCAAATTCAAAAGACCTTTGAGTATGTATGATATACATATTATTCGATAAGTGTACATTATGAAACAAATAAATATAGGTAGTTAACTTTACTCAATCTCAGTGAGGAACAAATTTAGAAATATTTTCTAATTCTGTCTTTTTTCTGTTTATTATAATATGTACTATACGGACAAGCTCCTCATCCTGATGAACTCTTGTGTGTCGCGCGTGACAAAATCGTCACTTTCCTCAACTAAATATATAATAACTTGGCATATCTCGAACACGTCACTACACACATGTATGTGTATGCATTCTTCAAGAGGGCCGGAGCAGGAGGAGAGAGGCAAAGGAAGGATGTAAAATAAAGTTACACTTGGGCCTCAGTTATCGTGACAACTTTATATCTCACGTGAGTTAATTTTACATCAACTGTTGGCCCGAGTTGAAGTCTTCACCAATCGCAACGCCGAATGCGGTCGCCGTTGAGAGAGCGAGTTGATATGAAATATACTCATACTAGGCCCTCCGAGGCTGATACGATCCATGGCCCTCTACGGGGCACCGATATGGGCAAAGCGCGCCAACACGCTGTCGGTGCCGTTCTGCCTAGCCTTGAAGCTAGTAGGTAGTTAGGGAGGGAGGCCGCGTCACCTACCGTCACCACCTCACTGAGCATGGTTGCTTCGGTGGAGCTACATGGCATGCATAACATGGTTGCTACGCGAGGGACGGCACAATGTCAGCACTGCGCAGCCAACTGGGACTCCGCCCAGCACACGCTGGAAGACTGTCCCGCGACTGTCTGAACGCGAAGTCCTGGTCGGCCAAATTGGACGAGACCTGTCCCCGCCAGCAATTATTGATGTCATGGTGGCGGGTGAGGAGGGATGGAGCGCAGGGTCTCTTTCTGTGAAGCTGTAATACTCCAGAAAGAGACCGCTGAACGGGATCGGGAGAAAGCCGATTCCGAACCTAGACGACGTCGTCGCCAATAACAGCCGACGACGGGGCCGCGAGCCACCAGAGAGGGGACCTCTGGTGGCAGACTGATTGCTGCGTTAGGGGATGGAAAGGCCGGCCTGATTGCAGTAAGATGCGATCGGGCCGCCATGCCGCGATTGAGGGGGGAAGTGTTCTCCCCTGGGATAGTGCCTGATTAGCCATGGTGTCAATTCGGGGAGGCCTGAAATAACATGGTCCAGGTCCTCCGCAGAGTAGGGTCGGGGTGGTTTTTAGTGGAATTACTACATACTCCTGGCTCCTGAGTCCCAGAGGAGCAGGAGATCCGAAGGGATATTCCACCCCGTCACCTAAAAAAAGGGCCGTCCGAGGCTGCCTGGTGAATATTCATGATGCTCTGATATTTTTGAAATAACTAGTCGTCACAACAAAACAATCACATTTTTTTTATTAATGTCATTAAAAATAAATTAGGAGCACCACCACTGTGATTATAAAAAAAAATATTTGATATGACAGTGGCAAAAAGATTTTAACGGTGACAAAAGTCACTTAATATTAATCAAGTAATTATAGGGGTAAGGAACCAGGGTCTGTCAACTTTGTTCTTAGAACAAGATGTAGGTGGGCTTGAAAACAAGAAAGAGACAACAACATTAGAGTAAAAGAGATGAATTATAAAATGTTGCCACCAAAATTACAATTTCGTTTTCTCCAAAACAATGAGCTAAAAAAGAAAGTCACCCTTAAAAATACATTTTGTGATTATTCTGATACCCAAAAAAATTATTTTGCTAAGAAATATAACATATTTAATTGATCAATACACAAAAACAAAAAAAAGATAAGGGGGAAAATGTGTGGCAACTACTGGCAACACGTTTGACGTCACAAGAAAAATGTCTGCCTGCGGTTCCCGCACCATTTTATCTTGTACCTATGTTTATTTGTAATAAATAAACTAGTTGCATTTAATTCTACATACATTGTTACCGTGAGTCGAGTTTGCTCCTCCGTGGCTGTGTTTTGGTGAAATTAAGTGTGTGTTTGTGAGATATAGACTCGGTGTTGAGATAGTGACTTGTTTGATTGTGTGTTTAATTTTCGCAATGAGTTCGCAGAAAGAAAACACTAGAATCTGTTGCATGTGTGGATCTTCACCTTCTAAAGATTCCAGCATCACTTTGCATCGGTTTCCTAAGCCTGGCTCAAAAAATGCTCTGCGGTATGTACCTACCTAAGTACTTTCCATGCTATTCGTTTACATCCTTTAAATCTCTTTCAATCAAAGGAAAGTACAGAAAGTTTAGATTGTTATTTAGATAAAACTTAATTAAAAATATGATTATTAACCCTTTCCCCCCGGGGTAGTGATTTTTAACAAATTTTCGCTTTTGAACTTTATTTACATAATAAGGTAAGTAAAACGAAACGCACAGATTTTTTTTAGATTTTTATTATACCTAGAAGTACTATTACCAAGACCTAGACTTAAAAGTGCCGTCAGGAACTTCGTGTTATCACAATGTTAGGAACTTGGATAGAAACTACAAAATAATGAGATCCAATATTGACTTAGTAATAATTAAATTATTAGGTTTTTAATTACAGATTAACCTCATGGTATTCAACAAAACAATTTTTCTTCTCATTTACACACAAAAACACGTTGCAATGCGAACATTTACTATGAGGTTTCGACTGAACCTTATTCAAGCTACAAACTTTACACCTTCCCCTGTTCTCTACGAATGTAGACCAATGGATGCCTCTGTTACCCATACATATAGAATAGTCAGATTTGCGCCTTTTTGAAGGGTCGCCATCCGCAGTGTTATCAGTAGAAGTCTTTCTATTCTGACTAGCATTTTTCATTGTCAGTCTCTGGGCATTTGGACATTTATCATTGCAATGCAGATGAGATAAAATAATTTTAATTTCCTTTTTAATTTTAATTTCGTATTTTATTTTTTAATTTTAATTTTTTTTTTAATTTCCAGGTGTGAATTATGGGCAAAGTATTGCTTTCCATACAAAGCCTGGTCTTCACCAAAATTCCAGGATGAACTCCATTCAAAACATAAGATGCTTTGCAGCAAACATTTTGAAAGCACATGCTTTATTGAGAAGAAGTTGTTCAGAACAGCTGTACCTGGTGTTCAATGCCATAAGGTTAGTACAATTAATACTTTAAAAGTGTATTTAAAGCTATTTACATTGCAGAGAAATACAGACTTTATGTTATGTGTAACACATAATATTATGTAGCAGAATGATGTTGTTAACATAAATTTAAGAAAACTTGGGCAATTACAAACATGCAAAATGAGTCATAAATTTAGATGGAATTTGGTATGTAGAAACTTTGATTCTTGAGGAAAAACATGCTACTTTTTACTGCAATAACCAACATTTACGCGGAGGGAGTGCATTTTTACCGCGATGACCGACATTTACGCGGGCGGAGCCGCGGGCAGAAGCTAGTTATAAATATTTCTTATATATAATTTGCTTACCTCAACTATGACTTATATTAATTTAAGGATTTAAATTAATTTATTTAAAATAAATATGTTAACCTTTCATTTTCAGGACACAACAATTTCTAATCTGCCAGATCAACCTGCCATATTTGAACCTGTTGCCGGTCCATCCAGAATTTATCCTTTAAGAGAACATAATGCAAACATTATCACTCCAACCAGTTGTTCAGGAATGATTGTGTGCGAGTCTTCAAAACAAGAAGGAGATAAGAAAAACAAAATGTTGATAAGGAAACTGAAAAATAGTATGAACAAAGTGTATAGATTACAAAAAACTGTAAAATATTTAAAAAATGAAGCATTTTTAAATGAAATCTCCAACAATGAAACAGTAAAAAAAATCCTCAATAAAAAAATGAGTTCATCATTTGCCCTGTTACTGCAAGGAGAACTGCAGAATTATAAGAGGAAGAAACCTGGACGCAGGTGGAACATGGAAGCTAAAATAATAGCATTGAGGCTCTATAAAAGGTCACCAACATGCTACAAGTTATTGAGGAGAATGATTTGTTTACCAGCACCCAGCACATTAAAATCCCTCTTAAGCAGATTTAGGATGAATGTGGGGATACAAAAAACAACACTTACAATGTTGAAAAAGATTACAAAACACTTTGGGCCATCTGAACGAGAGTACATATTGTTGTGGGATGAAATGTCATTAAGAAAAAATTTATGGTACAACTCTAAGTCTGATCAAATTGAGGGTTTTCAAGACCATGCCACACAAGGTAGATCTCCACAGGCAGCTTCATATGCGCTTGTATTTATGGTGGTTGGAGTTAGGAAGCCAATTAAACAGCCAGTGGCTTATTACCTATCAAGTGGATTTGTCACAGCTGACAGACTATCTGTTTTGATTAAGGAGGTATGCATTTCTTCTTCATTTTGAAAGATGATCATGCTTATGTTAAATAAGCTAAGTTACTAATCTGCCTTAAAAAAATTTCAGGTTTTAAATTGTTGCTTTAATGCTGGCCTTAATATATGCGCTTCAGTTTGTGACTTGGATGGAGTCAACAAGAAAGCTCTGTGTCTATTAGGAGCTTCTGTAGAGAATCCCTATATAGAAGTGAGCAATCACAAAGTAGTCACGCTATTTGACACACCACACTTGCTGAAGTGCTTCAGAAATCTGTTCATGAAATATGATGTAAAGTTTATGACCAATATAACATCAGACAACAAACAAGGAATTGGTAAGTCATTGTTATTTAGTTTAAAAAAAGTGTTTAATAATATGTATGTAGTTTATACTTAACTAGCTGACCTGCGCAACTTCGTCTGCGTCTTTCAATAGTAATAAATTTTCTCCGTTTTTGAAACATTCTTTATTGGTGCTCCGCTCCTATTGGTCTTAGCGTGATGATATATAGCCTATAGCCTTCCTCGATAAATGGGCTATCTAACACTGAAAGAACTTTTCAAATCGGACCAGTAGTTCCTGAGATTAGCGCGTTCAAACAAACAAACAAACAGACTCTTCAGCTTTATAATATTAGTATAGATAATTTTACTTTTAATAATTACTTTACAGGAATCGCTAAATGGAGCCACATCAGACAATTCTATGAACTGGACAATAATAATCCCAATTTTGTTTATGCACCACTCTTAACTAAAGAACACGTTGACCCCAATACCAAGCAAAAAATGAGGGTAAAACTTGCAGCACAAGTTTTAAGCCACTCAGTTGCAGCAGGAATATTTTCCAAAATAGCTAAAGGTAAGAGACATCTTTAATAGTCATGGTCCAACTCATTTATACACACACATCATAATTATTATGCATGATACTTATGCACATTTAACAACAAGTCTTACAAATTCGTTTCAACAGTATGAAAATGTGGGGTTGTCTCTTTTATAAATGGTGAAACTATCTAATAATTATATTGTCATATTATATTGTATTTATATTGATTTAATTTGTTTATTGTGAATTTTCAGGAGACATGCCGACTGGAGCAGTGGCAACGGGTAATTTAATTAAAGACATGGATGAACTGTTTGATGGAGTAAACGCGTCGACATCAGATTTAAGAAGAGGAAAAAAATTTTCCACAAATATAAAAAAAACCACAGAACATCTGCAAATGTTCAATAAAATGAAATATTTTTTTAAAACCTCTGAATTTTTGGGATGCAGGGGTAATCCACCATCAAAAAATGGGTGGATCTGGACCCTCAATGGGATAGAAACGATTTGGAGAACCCTTAGTACCAAATATAAATCCATCAAAAGTCTGTCTACAAGAAGACTCCAGCAAGACCCGTTGGAAAATTTATTTGGTTGCATACGCTACAATTGCGGGTCCAATAGCAACCCGACAGTTGGACAATTTGTTGCTGGCTTAAAAACTGCTGTAATGAGCAACATGGCACACACTAGCTCAGGGAATTGTGAGCTGGATAGCAACAGTGCTATTATATCAAATTTTAAAAAATTGCTGACATCATCTGCAGACATATGTACTGATACAGAGCAATCCGAACATGTAAAGGAAATAGTAAAAGAAATTGAAGAAAGTATAACTTCCTCTCTCGAAGAAAACTTGGAGGAAGGAAGTAGCGAACTACAAGCATGTGCATATGTCTGTGGCTTCATTATTAAAAAAATAAAAAATAATTGTAATAAGTGTATGAAAATTCTAGTCTCCGAAACGCCAGAGGGAGTGCATAATTTTATAGAGTTCAAAAATTATGAAAATCCAAAACAATCGCTTACATACGCCTCAAAGAATTTAATAGCTTGTGTAGAGAAAAGTGCAAGCATAATAAATATATTTTTAGAAAGAGAGGCGTATAAAGAGAATATTAAAGTGAAAATAACACAAACATTAAAGGACTCTATAAATTATGATTTTCTCGAAGATTGCGTGGAGCACAAAGAATTAAATATAACATACATAATCAATAGTGTCTTCCACATTACAATTAAGAGGTACTGTATCCTAAAAAACAGAATGTTTTCTGAAGAGGCGAGTAAATCAGCATTAAAAAGAAAAATGCACATAATTATGCATAAATAAATGTACAACTAGCACTGCCCATGAATTCATCAGCCTGAATTTTAGACTTTTTCATTTTGAATGATGAAAGAATTTTTTTTTTTTTTATGAATTTTATTATATTCTATGATGATCATGCTTATGTTAAATGAGCTAAGGTTTTAATAATCTGCCTAAAAAAAATTTCAGGTTTTAAATTGTTGCTTTAATTCTGGCCTTAATATATGCGCTTCAGTTTGTGACTTGGATGGAGTCAACAAGAAAGCTCTGTGTCTATTAGGAGCTTCTGTAGAGAATCCCTATATAGAAGTGAAAACATCAGACAACAAACAAGGAATTGGTAAGTCATTGTTATTTAGTTTAAAAAAAGTGTTTAATAATATGTATGTAGTTTATACTTAATAATTTTACTTTTAATAATTACTTTACAGGAATCGCTAAATGGAGCCACATCAGACAATTCTATGAACTGGACAATAATAATCCCAATTTTGTTTATGCACCACACTTAACTAAAGAACACCTTGACCCCAATACCAAGCAAAAAATGAGGGTAAAACTTGCAGCACAAGTTTTAAGCCACTCAGTTGCAGCAGGAATATTTTCCAAAATAGCTAAAGGTAAGAGACATCTTTAATAGTCATGGTCCAACTCATTTATACACACACATCATAATTATTATGCATGATACTTATGCACATTTAACAACAAGTCTTACAAATTCGTTTCAACAGTATGAAAATGTGGGGTTGTCTCTTTTATAAATGGTGAAACTATCTAATAATTATATTGTCATATTATATTGTACTTATATTGATTTAATTTGTTTATTGTGAATTTTCAGGAGACATGCCGACTGGAGCAGTGGCAACGGGTAATTTAATTAAAGACATGGATGAACTGTTTGATGGAGTAAACGCGTCGACATCAGATTTAAGAAGAGGAAAAAAAATCCACAGAACAGAACATTTTTTACATTTTTTTATATTTGTGGAAAAATGATAATCAGGAGATAGTACTATTTGCGGATGACACTTCACTGTTATTTAAACTTAAACGACAGCAATCAGTAACTGATGACGTGATTAGCACTCTCTCTAAGGTTGTAAACTGGTTTAATGTTAATAATTTATTTTTAAACGAGAATAAAACGAAATGTATTAGATTTTTTACACCTAATGTTAAACAGGTAAAGACCAATGTTCTAATAAATGGAAAGGAGTTGAATCTTGTGGACACCACCAAGTTTTTAGGTATAACACTAGACTCTAAATTGCAATGGGGCCCACACATTGACGGATTGTCGAATAGACTTAGCTCTGCAGCATACGCGGTTTACAAAATTCGTCAATTAACCGATGTAGAAACAGCTAGACTGGTGTATTTTAGCTATTTTCATAGTGTAATGTCATACGGTATTTTGTTGTGGGGAAATGCTGCTGACATTCAAAGTATCTTTGTGTTGCAAAAGAGAGCTATTCGTGCAATTTATAATCTTAGTTATAGGCAGTCACTGAGGGATAAGTTTAAAGAAATTGGTATCATGACAGTCGCATCTCAATATATATATGAAAATTTAGTGTATGTAAAGAAGAATAATCATTTATTCACAAAGTTTAGCGACATGCATAAAATAAACACTAGAAATAAAGATAAACTCGTGTTACCAACCACTAGACTACAAAAAGTAAGCAAGTCTTTTCATTGTCAGGGTGTGCGATTTTACAATAAAGTGCCAAGCAAATTCCATGAATTAAGTATTAATAAATTTAAGTCTTTAGTAAAGCTAAAACTATGTGAAAAGGCTTACTACACTATTACAGATTATTTAGCCGACAAATTTGCTTGGGATTGATGCTGCTCACTCCCACATTTACGTAGACATCTTTGTTGTTAAGTTTGAAAGTGATGGACATTTAATTATTATTTTTTGGTGTATTTCGTATTTTGTTTTCGTATTTTATTTTTCGTTGACTTTGAACTGTGTAGTATTTTTTTATTTTTTGTGTAAGTATGTAAATGTGAGTACAGTGTAGGCTTGTAATGTTAATTAATTTTTTATTATCTTTCTGGTGGTTTTGAGTGTTTCCACGGCCTACCCAAATGTCCTGCTGGCGGTAGTGTCGTGCTTCGGGTCGTTGATCTTGACCAATATCGGTTAGGCTACACGATGGCTGGAGCCTGTATGCCGTCTGTATGGACAGGTTGACTCAAAACTATGATCCTTTCCTCAAAAGGCCTATCCAGACCCTATACTGTACTCGCACAGTTTTAATTAACTTTGTTTACGGACTTAAAAAAAAAAGACACCTCTGTGGTTTGTTTCGGTGTTTCTTCCCAGAGTGAGTCTTAGGAAATGCCGGCTCCTTCTATAAAGTCCGACTTGTAAAAATATCTGAAAAGATTTACTTACAGAAATAAATATCATTTCATTTCATTATAGGCTGATTATGCTTTATTTATTATTTTACAACTTGTTTTATTAATGGACGATAGTGTAGCTAAATTGGTCAGATCTGTCTACCTTCAACAAAAATAATAAGTATCTCTCTTGTTAACCATTTCTTTATTTATTTTATTAAACTGAAATAATACATATTATATAATGTTATGATATATGTCTGTAAAGTGTAAACTTGTGTTTGACCTTGTCTAGGTTTTTGATGTTAAAATTGTATGCAATAGACCATATGGTCGAAGATGCTTGCTGTATTTTCAAATTGTATGTATTATCTCATTTTTAGAATATTATGTTTAATTTGTGTTTAGATTAAGCGACAAATTTTGTGATTAATTATCATTACATACACGCCATGTCAGAGGCCTGTGGGATTCCCAGAGGCGACTTAATAAGCTCTGACACTAGAGGGTGGCCACAACACACGCAAAAAAATTACATACACATACTTGTGAACACCTTTTGTCCCAAATGAATATATAATTTAAAAACACATTTATTCATGTAAAATTAGTATATAGTTGCTTATAATATGAATATCTGATAAATTATAATGAATATTATGCTAAATAAAAAAGTCAAATACTAATGTTTCTTTTATTACACTGTTCCATAAATATTGCTTTCAGCATTTTATGCACAAGTACAGTGTGTTTCTCGATAGTGATGTCGTTTAGATGTCAATTGTTTTTGCTGAGAAATAATTGACCATCTTGATGAACACTATCGAGAAACGCACTGTACTTGTGCATAAAATGCAATACAAAGTATCTGTTTTGAAATTCCCGCCCTAGCTTCTACTGTCTAGTTTTGGTGGGCGGAGCATAGATGGCGCCGGCCGGTAAGGAAAAATTTCCTCATAAAAATAGTATGGAGTCGTTATTCTTCCCCTTTAGGGGTATATATGTTCTGTGTAAGGAACAAATTCTACATAATAGCAAATAGTATCAAGGTTAATTAATCAAGCATTAACCTAGTTTTGCCATAAATATTCTTACAGGAAAGGATAAAAAAAAGATTTTCATTGCATAAAGCCTGATCTTAATTGGCTAAAGCCAATTTTATATTATAGGGGTTAAAGTATGACATTGGGTATGAAAAATAGATGTTGGCCGATTCTCAGACCTACCCGATGTGCACACAAAATTTCATTAGAATCGGTCAAGCCGTTTTAGAGGAGTACGGGAACGAACATTGTGACACGAGAATTTTATGTATAAGAAGATGTAGATACTTTCAATTGATAGGAAATCTTCTTTCTAAGGAGAGGCAAATGTCCAGCAGTGGACTAGTATAGGCTGTTGATGAGATGATAGGAAATCTTCATGGTGTGAGATTTTCGTGTTAAACTATTTTCACATGGTACCTATGAGGTTCTTCTTTTTAAACGACTTCAAAAACACAAAGGAGGAGGTTATCAATTCGGCAGCTTTTTTTTGTATGTTTGTTCGCCATATCTCCGTCAATTGTAGACCGATTTTCAAAATCATTTTTTTAATCGATAGGGTATACTCTCGACGTGGTCCTATTACCACCAAATCATGGATGATGGGATCCTAGAGAAATCGTATAAAAAAGTCGGACATAGTCTCGCTAACAAAAAACTGTGTCATTCATAGTCGGCCAGATAGCTGTTCGTACAGGCCGTCACTCACATTAGTCAGCACAGCACAACATGTTTTGAGTGGTGAAATGTTGTAAAAACCGTACTGACCGAAAGAAAAAAAAAACAGGAATCACGTTTTATAGATAAATGAACAATTCAACTACTTATTTCCAGATTTTATACATTAAAATCAATCTGCATTCGCTAGGACAAAAAAGTTCATTAAAAACCCAGTGTTGCCAATTTTCACGTGTGTACAGAAAACCGACTCGTCGGGTTTCTGTTTACAGCAATTTTTTTCTTTTTTTACTTCCGAAACGCAACGCAACTCGTTACGCAACGGATTTTAATGCTTGGTTTTCACCAATAGAGAGAGTGATTCAATAGGCAGACTAAACGCTGGCTAAGCCGTTTAAGATAGATCAAAATAATGTACTATGGAATCGTATATCTTAAAAAGATCTACAAAAAATCTGCAATATTATATGGATACTTTACTAGACTTATCTATTACATACTTATTTAAAAAAATAATGGGTAATTTACGAAGCTATATTGAACAATACAGTATTATTCCTTATCCAAATACATATACATTTGATGCTCTGCATTTAATGTAGATCAAAATTGCCATCATCTCATTAAATGCAGGGGTAAAGCGACCGTCGCCGCGTCGCCCGGGTCTACGTGCGTCGGTCCTAGGTGGCAGTGGCCGACAGGAGCGGAGCGGGCCTATAAATATTGCATAAAATAAAGGTGTCCAGTCATATGATAATATGGCAGAATTAATTACTCCAAATTGACAACTTATTACTTGTATCTACATTACACCCGTGCAAAGCAGCTGCGGATCGCTAGTAAATAATAATGCTAACATTGCCTACACTACAATATTTAAAAGATTGACACAATACTTAAGAATCCTTGAACAGATATCCAAATGCAAAAAAGCTATTCCTCAAATATAATATCTGCTTACCAAGTTCTGCGCTTCTGAACGACCATTTTCGTTTTGGTGGAATGATTATGAGGACCCATAGACGAACATAGAAATTGAACTCTTCGAACAAATACTAGTGTTTAAATCAGAGAAATAGTGTATTTTACATATTTTGCATTTTATATTTAAATACTTTTATTAATAACCTTTTTGTATTTCTATTTGAAATAATAAAATAACGAAGCATTTGCATTTTGAATTTAAATACTACTTTTTACTAAACTATTTTTTTACATCTCTGTTAAGGATACTGATTTTATTACGCATGTCTTACGCTTTACAGAACTAGCAGGAAAGTAATTTTCTTTATCAAGTTAAACCTAGGGTTTGATAAATGAAGGTGTAAGACTGTCAAATCATTGTGTATACGGTGTACTTATGTATTTGTAAAGCAAACAACCTCAAACAATATCTGCGCTCCCGCAGTTAGTGACTGGTCGTACCTGCGCACTGTCGTGTTTTACCTTTCAATATGACAAGGTAAGTAGCGTTCTTCGTATAAACATAACAAAAATCGTGCAGAAATAATCTCTTGAAAATAAGCAGTCTAATATATTCGTAATTTTCTATACTGTCAATCTTTTGAAATAGGATAATATTTTATACTTGAAAACAATAATTTGTTTGGCTTTTGTGGAATTGATTATATTTATTATACTTATAGTACTTAGTATCTACTGTTACAATTTACTAATACTATGTATATGTTTAATAAAATACATAATAGAGAATCTAAATATCGTTTACATTTTTTGTTTTGAATAATAATGCCTAAATAGTTTTAACCTATCTTAGCAAAGTTAATTATAGTTGCTTAAAAATTTTTAATTACTATATTTAACAGAAAAACAAAGATGTTATAGGTATTATAGATTACAATTAGAAAGTTACTACACCCCGCTAGTCAAAGATAAATAAAACAATAGTAATCAGAATTAATTAGAGAAAATAAATGAATTATGTTCTACGAACATATTTACAAATGAAAGGGACAAAAGATCTGAGAATCATTTTCTCATACTGTTTGTCAACCCATTTTCTTTAAGTATTTATATTTATTTTTGGTAACAAAGTCATGAGTTTCGGTGATATTAATAAAAAAATGTATTAAATATTTCCTTTCTACATAAATAAATTATGTAAATTCAAGTTTCACTGGTCAATGAAATGAAATAAACATTAAAAACTTAATGCATCATCTTCAAAGAACAACCAACAGACCTTAATACATCAAAAGGTAATAGCGAGGTGAAGAGCCGAGGCTAACGTAAAATTATTACAATTGAAAATAATTGAAATACTAATGGCACCAAACCTTCGTGGAGTGCCTGCGCTCTCGCAGTTAGTGAGTGATCGCACCTGCACGTGCGCACTGTCGCGTGTTATTACCGTTCAATAAAATAATATTTTATTATACCATATTATGGTATTCCACATGATATGGTAAGTAGCGTTCTTCGTATAAACATAACATAAAACCGTGCAGAACTAATCTCATAAAAGAAAACGGTTTGATATAATTCGTAACTTGTATATTATCTGATATGTATCGTATAGACAATCGTTTGACGTGTAATCGAGAAGTAGTTGTGTATTTAAAATATATTGCGTTTTTACTTTTAGTGCAAAGTTTTAGTTCATCTGTTCGACATTTTTTACCAAATTCATCTCCAAATTTTTTATTTTTTTATTTAATTTTTAATAATTTTTTGGAAGCGCTTCTGATAAAATATTTTTATTTAGTGTACCATTCTTGCTAAGAAATAGGCTATCATGCCTACCTTTACGAAGTGTCAGCGCTGGCGAACTTGTATAGGATGACCAGGAAAATAAAAAGGATTCGTGACTTAATACCCATGTGGCCGACGCACCTGTGGTCGATGCCTGCGGGTCAGTTTAATTTGATACGAAGCCATTTTTAATTACATGTACTTATAGACATAAAAACATTTTCCAAAAACTAGAAATATTTATACCTATCTATAAATTTTATTATATCAAGATTAAAAAAAAATGCAAATTAACAATTTTAATTTTATTTTAATGTAATTGATAATTAAATTGATGTTATATAACCGGTATTTGGAAGGTTTTGCTGCAAACTTGTTTGAACAGGTATAATCTCAATGTATACATACATCTAATATGGCAATCTATATCTATACAAATAAATAAAATTGAAGTGTCTGTTGGTAATGTCAAAATAATAGGTTTTTATATGCTCACACGGTTATTTCAAGATAATTATTATATATATATTTAGAGTAATCTTCAAAATGGCTGGATTGATTTTGATAATATTTAACTACCAGGTAACTTAGGCTATTTTTCTCTCGGAAAAACTCTATAAAATTTTGCCCGGTTCGGGAATCGAACCCACTAAGGCAGTGCTATTCAAATTCCACGCGAACGAAGTCGCTGGCACCAGCTAGTTAGTAATAAAATAGTAATCAGGGTTTTATGTAAATAAATATTACGGTCTACGTAAGAATTTAAAATGGAAAATGATCTATGGATTATTTGGATGGTTGTACATTTAAATTGCTTGTAACCTAAAGACACGTCTGCACCAAATTATAAGAAGGTAGTACACAGTTTACTTGTCGTCGAATTGACACTCCACTGCTGTGTACTCCTTTCAGTACTATCCTTCTGGAAATCCTGCTGACAAACATTAGGTTTTGAATGTTATGAATATGGTCAGCAAGACTGCATGTGGAATCTGTGTGTGTCTAAAATAGCGTTGGTGACACTACTATCATCGCCAACGTTTAGTATTACAAAATTAATCAAGTTCTTATAAACATCTAAAAGATCGTAAGGAAACAAGTGGATTATCCTTAAACATTTCCTTTCGTTTGTATAAACCTATTAACTGTGGTGTTGTACATAAAGCCTTTATTTATAAAATATATATATAATAAGCATATTTATCTGATATGCTACGTATTTATGAGCCACACAAAAGTATACCTACGTGTTTAATAATCCCGGTAACAACACCTGGAACTCCCCATTAGAATGCACGAACTCATCATGTTGGTAATCATCTATAGTAAACAACAGCAGCTATAAATTTCAACCGGTTGTTTATACTCAGTGAAGAATATTTGATGACACAATAGATGAAATGCTATACTTCCATTCACAGTATTCAGAACAATGAATAAACATCTGTTTTTCCTATGACATAATCTGTTTTAAAACTCTTTTCCGTCTGATAGAGTAAAGTTACTACACCCGTTAAATTGATACTTATTTATTTACACTTCGTTTGGGAAAACCTATGCATCTTGTAAAATTTCCCCTTCTAACCAAGGCGAATAGAGACGTTAACTTTGTTTGTAAAACTGTCGGATAAACCTCTATCTAGGTATTTAAAATATTGTGGAAATTCTGCCATATCCTCCAACATTGTAGCACTGTCTGGTTTTTGAAAGAATGAAGAAGTAGATTCATCTTAATCTATACTGATATAATAAAACGTTATTTTTAATTGTTTAAAACTGGGGAACGGCTTGTATACTAATCAGGCAAAGTCAAATATTTTTATTTAATCATTCGTTTGTTTAAACTCCCTAATCTGTGGAATTATCAGTTAGATTTAAGTAGGTAATTCTTTTTGTAATGGTATAAATCATCCCTTTACCTACGTAGTGTACTTGTAAGTAACGGATTTCATGAAATATAATCATCATAATAGTTGGTAAGTGTCCACGTCCCTCTTATGTGGTTGACAAAGGACTCACTACTAAGTATACGTATATATTCAAAGCGTGCACTAGGGCACCGATCTTGAGCACTGACCTTCATCTGAGCAGAAGTCGATTTTTGGGCCCCTTTGGTAGTATGCAGTAGGACGGGGGACATTTAAATCATAACGTAAGTATCATAAGCTCACCGATATTGTCGCTGCTCCTAATTCGTTTTCTTGTACTTAACCATGACGAGTCCACTTCCGAAGAAATTAATAGGGTCCTTCTTTTTTTATTAAGAAGTAGCTTTTGTCTGCAGCTCCGCCCACCTGTATGTCGGTTATCGCGCAATATTGCGGTCCTGCTCGGTAGCCTGTGTCTTTCCTCAAGAATCAAAGTCTCTCCAGAACAAATTTCATTAAAATCGGTTCAGTGGTTATATATGTCCCGTACAAACTTCCACCTTCTTTGCACTCCTTTAAAGGGTGGTTTCGGGGATATAAACTCTCCAAACGACTCCGAGAACCATTTTGTCTTAGCACATAATCAATAAGAAGTTACGTAGTAACTTTACTACCTAACGTCTTATGGTTTTGATTTATTTTTATTCTATCTAAGAAAATGAAGGCAAAATTGTACGGATAATTTGGGCCAGTACTTTGATTAGCAAAAATAAAAAATAACCAACATTTTTATATTTTAAAATTTTCATACAAATCTCCAATTTCATAGGTAAACCCCTATTAATAAATGGGTGTGCATTAGTGCAGCCGAGCCGCCGAGCGCTCAAGATCCTGGTGCCGGTTATACTTGGAACTATATATCGTCCCAAACTTCATAGTAGAAATTCGCTGTCCCACAGCCCCACAGACCATTTTGCGATTTGGTAGTTCATTTCAGGCCAAAAAAATCGATTTTCATTCGTGTTTAGTTGCTTATATCAGAATGATTTATCTGTTTTTCAACTTAATAAATATTTGCGAGAATACAACTGTGTAGTATATATTAAAAATAATAGATACTACACAGATCAGATTCAACATTTCCCTAAATTGCTGAATACCGTTTAGTCGATTTTCTCTAGTACATAACATATAGGTAACTTTCGGTTTATTCGCCAAATCTTTGTACGCGACAAAGCGACTGCTACATTTTTATCGCCTGGAATGTACTCGTACCTTATTTATTAGTGTAGTAAATTCAACTATAATGCTAATTGTCGAGTTCTATGAGAAGTTTGTTTTTCATTATTTTTTGTTAAGGAAGCAAATAAGTACAAATGATATGTATAAATAATTAATTTTCTTTGTTCAAACATTTTACGAAATACTGACGTAATTGACGAATAAATATAAGTTCTCGGAATACCTAGGCACTTTTTTTATTTCCGTTAGCTGCTCATAATAAAACCTAAATGGTTTACATTGCACATCTATTTTTATAACAATACCGCACCTATACAAAAATTTAAGGTGTATTATTTTTAGTACATTATTGTTCAGAAATATTTGAAATTTGTGCTGCTTTATGCAAACCTATATATCGAATTCTGTGTTGTTATATGTTTTTAGGCGTAACAGCCACACTGTTTAGGGATCTATCAAGTTTCGTTGCTAAATTCAACTTTCTGTAGTCGTCTGCAAGGTAATCCTTCATTAACGATCAATGTCCATCCATTTTTATACAGTTAGCTTGTCCAAGTATCAATGCAAGTTCGTTTTAACCTTTGCGATTTTAAAAATGATGGTAATAATACTTAATAAATAATAATAATATTTTCGGACA